TAACAATTAAGGATAAGGATACTGGGGTACAATAACTCCGAAATGTAGCTTACTGTACTTACTCTATTACGAAATTCAATAATTTTGTGTAAATGAGATCGAAATGAAATATAAATTGAACCATAATTTAATTTCTCTTTTCTCTTTAGTTATCATCATTACTATAAAAAATTATTACTTTAGTATCAATCGCTGTCACGATTTCACATGAAATTAGATTGCAACTCACCTATAGGAACACGTTAAAAACTATTTGGACGACGTCTCTAGAAGGTTCCAAGTGACTTCATGAATATTGTTCGTATATTTCGAATTCGTACTCTGTATACAGTTCATTTCCATCTATACTCGCATGTTCGGTTCGGTTACAAAGTGCAAAATATTATATTGACCATGTGTGCAGTGTTGCCTCTGAAGGTTAGTAAGAGTCTTAAAATGCATTCGCGCAGCTGCATGCGTTGCGCAGCCGCATGTCTCTGTATGGTTAGATTAGGTAAGGGAGGAGCGACTAACCGGTAGAAGGTGAAGCAGGAGGGGTGACTTGTGACCGGTGGGACCGGTTCGTATTCTGCAAGCCCTCCCTCCCCCTCCTGTTGTTGCTTCGCCCCGCGTCCCTCCGTGCCGGTCGACGACCCCGGATCGGCTTTGTTTCCCACAACACCTCGCTCCACCATCAGGACGTGCTTCTCACGACTCTTTAATTGGTTTTGAACAACCTTTTAAGGTATATAGCGTACTTGGGAAAGAACTTCCTATCCCATTTATAACTGACTAACTAGAAGTAATCCGTGACGACACGTAAACTTTACGATGGCTTTATAGTAGGGTTTTAAAAATTTTGAAATAATTTTGCAATAATAAGTTTTAACCGTGAGCGACTTATCTGCGTGTTTGTGGTCTTTATTGATGCATATGAACACGCTTTTTGGATCTGGTATAAAAATATCTCATTTTAAATATGATCCAGGATTATCGAAAATCAAGCAGATGCCACACCTTCGGGTTACAAAATTTTAAGCAATGGATCCGATATGAGATGGCACCTGTAAGTGAAATATATTAAACATTAGTCCGTACAGTCGCAAGTAATCCCAGTGCAGAGTGTGCAAACTTTCACATTTAGTCAAGCACAGCAGAAACTTTTATTTGACCGTTAGTTAGATCAGCCTAATTAGCATCGGGACTCACGAATGTACTACGCTTTGTTCCACTACGTGATGAGAGTTTTGTATGAGCTGTATGCATGGTTTCCACCAAATTACCTATTTCTGACTTTATGTCAGTGGCGTTAGCGCTGTGCAGGCACCGTTCATATCAGCCAATAACTGTCCACTGCTCAACATAAGCCTTCACCTTGGAGGGTTTTGTCAGTAGTTGCCACGCTTGACAGGCGGATTGGCAACAGCAGTAAGTCTTAGTAGATGTTTTAAGAGAGACGCTGCTACCCATCCCTCGCCCACCCTCTTAAAATATCCATGGAAAATGATGGAGTGGCCTATTCTATGCTGGAACCACACTGCACGAATGTAATACTATTTTAACATTTTTGTTTCACTACGTGATAATAAGATGACGATGAGCTGTATGCATGGTTTCCACCAAATTACCTATTTCTGACAAAAAGTGGCGTTATCTCTATGCAGGCACCGTTACTGTAAATTACCGTACCATTTTGATCCGAAGAAAAAAAATACAAAATAGCAAGAAATAGATCGGTCGGTGACGTGATGGTAGCGTTACAGTGGCATCTGTAATCGTGTAGCGGAGTGTGACGCGCGTGTCACTGGTGAATTACAATTGGGTACGATTTGCATGGTGTGTGGTGTGTGGTCGGCGACCGCGCGGAGGGCGTGACCTTGACCGACATGCCGCCGCCGGCCGCCAGCCGCCAGCCGCCGCCCGCCGCCGCGCCGCGCTGCATTACTGCGTCCGTCCGTGCAGCGACCATGAGTGTTTGCATTTCCTTACATCCAATTATACTCTAACTGTGGCCTACAAATTTGCCTCGAGAGTTACAGTTACAATTTATCTAGAATATGGTCATCAGAATCTCTGTACCCCATTCAAATCTCATTTCAAACATCCATATACGAGAGTATTTGTCCAAGCATTGTTATTCATAGGTGATATAAATATATTAGTAAACTACTTGTTCTGAAACTAGACATGCTAGTTGCATCGATTTACAACACGTCCGAAGATAAAATGTGATTCATGGTTCTACCACAAGAATACGGAATACGTATTTTTATGGTTCCAAGTTACATGCGCAGTTTTTTAAGTGACTTTAAAAAGGATGCACCAAACCGAATTGGAACCATCTCTTTTATATTAAACGCTAAGGGTAAACGGTTTCCGTAGTCTGTGGATCACAGACGAGGTGTCACGTGTGAGTTGCCCTCCTATTTACAACCAGTGTTTTAGTTTAACCAACGGTACATAAACGCACCTAGTTGTGTGTGTGTGTGTGTGTGTGTGTTTGTTGCTGTTGTTTGATATCGGCCTGTTGATCAATAAATACGAGTAGAGAGGCACGCGAGAGCGAGCAGCGACTCCGGTGGTGGTCGCTCGCCGCTCGCCGCTCGCCGCTCGGGCACCGCTGTATGTGCAGCGTGGGACATGTGACCTCCCCTCCTCTCTGTCCAACATTTTGAAAGTCACCACATACGACTCAAAGAAATCAACGTATATAGCGTCTGACTCTATAGCACACGGTGTTGGCTATAAACCCGTAAAAAACTAATTAACTTTACATTTTTACCGACGCAGAAAATCGTGAATAAATACAAAATGCCATTTAAATTCGTTTAATAATTTTTGAGTGAAAAACTAACAAACATCCATTCGTCGTTACAAATTTATCATATTATAACAGGATCCCCTTAGCAGTTCTGTTCTATCACTAGGGCTGCCGTTGAAGCTTGAACCCTAATTAAGTCCACTACTATTCAACCATTGTCTCTGCCGCTGTTGCATCTAAGTCTAAAAGATATGATACATTCATTGTCTAGAGTCTTGGTTGTGGATGTATAATTTCTTATAATGTCGCTTTATTTCTTTATTAACTTATTTATTATTTATTTAAACTTTAATGCACAGTAAAATTCTATTTACATTTGGCGGACTTAACACCGGACGGTGTTCTCTACCAGTCAAACCAAACCTTATCTTAGTTTTTATTGTATACAGACTTAGTACACCATAAGTATTAAGTGATAGTACGTAACATGACGTTTATGTTTCTTCTGGCAACGCTTGAGTGTATTGTTTGGCCGCTAGAGGCATTATTACAATCCATAGTTAGAGATAGTTCGAGCAGAGATAATTTGACAAAGTTACCCTCACGACTTCCCAGTGCATACGGTGTACCTCGTTATATAGCAAGCACGTGGTATTTGAATGCTTGTACCCTCAGGCTTATACGAGTATATTATCAAGCCACAAGTCATCAGTTCGTCACGAGACACCTGGGATGATTCAGGTTTCCGATATTTGCTTATACTTGCATTCATTCATTGATTGATTGCTATGATTTAAAACTAATTAGTAGTTCTATATGATAGTTAACTAGTTTTCAATGGTTCGAGACATTAGTATTGTGATAAGAAAACCCAATGAGTAGAATACCTAAATATAGTTGTAGAGGCCTCATTTACCGATCCTTGATCGTTACTCGCTAATTGAATTATTTTGATCTGTTGGCCACACTACATAGGTGACGCATGCCCTAAATTACAATATTTACGTGTGCGCAAAATTATGACTTGTCTCTATTTACATGAGTTATAAATCACAATGTGAATTTCATTTAATAACGCGAGTTGCGTAGGCGTATGCGATGTAGCGGCGGCGGCTGCGTCGTGATCGGGATTAGAATGGTCTAAGAAATTAGAGGCGAGTGTGAAGGTGTGTTGAAAGGCGATCCATTCCATTAGAGGCTGGCTCGTGACGTGCCGGAGCGGAGCCGGCGCGGGCCCTCACTTCCCCCCTCCCGCACCCCACCCCGGTTGCGACACCCACCGCCGCTGTCGGCTGCGGATGGTTCTATTGTCAAGGGATATATTGGGCAAGGGTGCGGATACATCATAATGTTATCTGCTCATCGAATTGCATTGTCTACATAAGGTTATAATAGATTATGTACATAAATCAATTTTGAAAAGATAGGCCTTTATTAAATACCTCATCAGTTTTTGTGCCTAGACAACCTTCTTGGTAAATGCTTTTGGACAAAGTGAAGCCAATGTCAAGATGACTTGCATCATGTCAAAAGAAGTACTGTCCCAGTTTAAACGAATCCGTACGATGTTAATAGGAAAATAGGGCGATGATATTTTTTAATTATAATAGTGATTACAGTGAAATGTAATAGTTATTCTAATAATTAAAGTTTTCAAGTGATGTACCAGACTTGTAAATTCTACGTGTAGGCAATAAGAAATGACGATGTCGCGAGGTAGACCGCGGGGACTTCGTCCGCCCTCCTCATCGAGAGGTGATGAACCATTTGAAAACTTGATTCCTACTGACTATATTTCCCATAGCTAGGTAGGTTCAGATTATATGCAACTGTTTACAGGAAGGTCCCGCACTTATCTACATCAAGTAATCTTGTTTGTCTCATTGTTATCTGCTCAGTATCATTTTAAAGTAAACTTGTTATGATAATTTAATTATGCATTATTTTAAAAGAGCCGTCACGTCACTATTTAGAAAACATTGTAGTCTTGTCAGGCTGTTATCTTCAACCGACTTCAAATAGATTAAATACTTCTAAATTAAGTTTTATTGTTGTGTGCGTAATGTCACAAATAATATAATACAATTCGATAGTAGTAAATGTATATGTTACGTCATATCGTATTCGTTGAAGGTGAACCGATTTTAATTATTATCTCTTAATCCCAGTTCCAAAGTAATTTGGGTTTTCTGTAAAGAAAACTTGGAATATTTTTTTGTTTGTTCATAATACTAAAAGTCGCAAAACGCTTGTATTGCAGGCGATGCGAGGGTGGTGCGCGCGGTGGTGGGGCGGCGGGTCGCGCTCGCGGCTGCGCTGGATGGCGGCGCTGCTGTGCTGGGGCGCGCTGGCCGCGCTGGCGCTGCCGCGGCTGCAGCCGCTGCAGCCGCCGCCGGCCGCCGCGCCCCGCGCCCCGCCCGCGCCGCCCGCGCGCCTGCTGCTGCAGTCCGAGCCGGCCGCGTCCACGCCGGCCGTGGCCGCGCAGCCGCTGCCCGCCACCGACACGCGCGTGCTCAGCGAGGACGAGCTGCGCGCCGACACCGAGCGCCGCCTGCCCTCGCTGCCGCTCGCCTACTGGCACAAGCACAAAGACGACAAGAATAAGTTCCTGAAAAAGAAAGACTGCGCCCCGTTCCCCTCCATATACGATCTCGAGTTTCACAACACTTACTGGCAGAGTTTTCATTCGAGCCAGGGTGTATTCCATTTTTACGGAGCTTACCTGGACACCAGAAATGCGTCCCGTATAGGGCCCGCAGTCCGCGTGCTCGGGGTGCACGACCGCATCAAGCCCACGATCACGACTCACTGCCAGCTATGGTTCGAGGAGCGCACCGCGCCCGTGGTCGTGCGCAACCTGGAGTACAAGTACGTCTGGAACAGCAAATGGGGCAACTACCGGGATCACGTACTACAGCCGTACTTGCTCGCGTGCGTGCTCCCACAGGAGGTGCAGCACCTCGTGCCGGCATCCGTTTCTATCGTGGAGAATCCCTGCGATCGGGCCACTAACAATTTGCGAGTTCATTACGACCGTCCCGACCCGGCCGTCGGTCGCAAGGAGTTCGCCGTCTGCGTGAAAGGACTCGATTTCCTCCACGAAGATTTATCTGTGAGACTCGTCGAGTGGATCGAGTTTGTGAGGCTAATGGGAGCGGACAAAGTGTTCTTTTACGAGTTACAAGTTCACCCGAACATAACGAAAGTGCTCGATTACTATAAAGGACAAAATGCGGTGACAGTGACGCCTGTCACACTGCCTGGCGGGCAGCCGAATCTGCCCGGTCTGCAGCATATGTATCTGAAGAAAAAGACGACGCACAAGCGTCAAATGGAACTAGTCCCGTACAACGACTGCCTCTACCGGCACATGTACGAGTACCGGTGGCTCGCGCTGCTCGACATCGACGAGGTGATCGTGCCCCTCGAGGACGCCGACTGGAGCTCGCTGATGAAGCGCGCGCTGCCCCTCTCGAAGCCGGCGAAGGGCAAGCCGCCGCGCTCCTCGTACCACGCGTCCAACCTGTACTTCTTGGACTCGCTGCGGCACGAGCACGGCTGGGAGGAAGGCATCCCGCGGTACATGCACATGCTGCAGCACGTGTACCGCACGCGCAACTTCACCAAGCCCGGCCAGTACGTGAAAGCGTTCCACGAGACGGAGCGCGTGCTGGCGCTGCACAACCACTTCCCGCTGGCGTGCCTGGGCGGCGCGTGCTCGTCGTACGCGCTGGAGCCGGCGCAGGCGCGGCTGCAGCACTACCGCGCCGACTGCGTCTCGGCGCTGAGCAAGTCGTGCGCCGAGCTGCGCGCGCAGCCCGTGCGCGACGAGGCGCTGTGGCGCTGGCGCCAGCCGCTGGCCGCGCGCGCCGCCCGCGCCCTGCGCGCGCTCGGCTTCCTGCCGCCGCACCGGTGACTGCTGTTGCCCGATCCTAATATTATATTAATTGCTAGTATTAAAAATATTTTTACAGTTTATCTCGCCCATTATTTCTCCCCAACCTACCGAGTACATACTATATACGGACCGGATAAAAGGCATGCCGTTCGGTTCCATTGTTTAGTTATCGCATTGACAATCGATTCCGACCGATGCAGTGGTGAAATATAAAATCATAACTATTGTGAGATCAGTTCTCTGATGAGCGTAGTAGATATTGTCAGTATCTTAAAGGAGGATTATGTAATCCATGAATATTGTGAGGTGAACTCTTAACATCTAGGTACTCGTACATTGAAAAATAGCATAAATTACGATGCGGGAGGTAAAGAGGCATCGGTATTTCTTATTGATCACTAAGTAGCGCATTACAGAATCGCGGAATTCTATTAAATATGAGATTTTTAGAAAATCTTTAAGAATAATATAATCATAGAGACGTCAACTAACTGAGTGTTACATTATTTTTATAAATTTTCCTTATAGCACATACTATACAAGCGATACTGAATTGAAAACGAAAAAGTGTTTTTCTTTTTTTGATGGGTGAAAATGGTGTGGTAACCCTGCGCCTGCGCTAACGGGATACGCTGGCGGAGCACCAGTGAAGGGTGATCGATGAGAATGAAAACAGGCCAGTTAGCCCACCATGATGAATTCATTCGGAATTAACCATGATAGTTTCCAGGGGGAACCCGAAGAGGTCGACCTGGTTGGGTATATTGCTAGCAATGGGATTCTCAGTCTCCATTACTAACAATCCCTTTCCCCCCAACGAAAAAGTGTTTAAAATGAGTAATATATTGACGTGTGGCCATACCTGAACAACTATCCGTTTGGCACAGCTCAGTGTCTATATAATATTAAGGCCAAGATTTTTAACGCTCTTACAATATGTAATAACAGAATTATCGTATGTATCGTGGTGAGAAAGAGTTATAGTATTATTGATAATAATCTATGCTTACCAACTGCCTCAAGCTCTCTATGATTATTGCTCGACACTTATTTGGTTTCATTGGGATGCCGAATTTATAAAACCAAAAACATAGATTTTCTATAGTTCATCTTTCAATTTAGTAACACCTGAATTAAGATCTTCGACAGATGTCTGTATATACATTTCTTAATCATCTGTATAGAGGTGGTAATCGCAGTGCTTTCCTTTCCCATCAGTGTCGTAAGAGGTGATTAAGGGAACTTTGTGATCGAAGCATCCCTTTTAAATGTCACCAAATCCTAACTGCTGTTGCCAACCCGCCTAGCAAATCATTCAATTGTTGAGACGTAGGAACTTTAGAAAAAAGTATAAAAACGTTTTTCGACAAAAAAAAAAAATAATATATGTACATAGAAGAAAAAGGAAAAAATTATAATAGCAGGGAGTGTTTCTGCCGTGAAGTAGTTGCATTTGCATAGGTTTGATTCGGTTTAAAAGATGGAATATGACATTGAAATTACAGGGTACAGAAGCATAACACCCTAGTCAAAGGGTAAAGGGATTGTTAGTAGTGGGGTCTGATGAAACTATTGCTAGCGTTACACTCTATTAGATTTACTTCCATGCGGTTTTCCCTGGAAGCTATCGTGGTTAATTCTAGTGGAATTCGTCACGATGGGCTACCTGACCTGCTTTCATCGTCACCTATTATTTCTCACTGCTCCGCCAGCGTATACCGAAAGCACAGTCGGTGTTACCATTCCATTATCACTCATTAAAAAAACACCTTAGACTGCATAAATGGTATCATGAGCGACACAGTATATTGTGTAATTTTCTTGCTACTGTTCATTTCTATAGACGATGATTACCACTTTTCATCATTCAAATTAGTTTTTTTTATGCAACTTAGAATGGCAAACAAGCTGACGGCTCACCTGATGGAAAGCCATAATCCTCGCCTATAGACATGAGCAGTATCGTGAACATAACAGAGTATACTTTCTCGCCCATGATACCCCCATACGTTACCATTCCTGAGGACTCAGGTGTTATTTCTCTGTATCCTGTAAATTCACGCCATATCCCACTCTTCAAACTGAAACACAGCCATGCAAACACAACTGCTTCGCGAATGGGGTGCCTAAGCAAACGACTTTTGTACAAAGTCTCCCTCTGGTAAAAGTAAAAGTTTAATAGCTTTAATGTAAAAAAGTAGCTAACATCCTGGATAGATGGATGGATGGACCATGCACCCGTCGTTACAAACTTTCGCATTTATAATATTAATAGCCAAATTAACTAGGTAAGCTTAGTTTGCGGTTTTAGTTCGGCAGACTGTTTTATATGAGTATTTGCTGAATTATTTCCAACAGTTGCTGATGGTCCCCATAATTTAAATAAATAACATGCATGAGGATAGAATTTCATTTATCTTTCATATTAATAGAAAAGCAACAGTAGGCAAAACTATATTTTTTTACAATCGTATCTGTCTGTCTGTATGTTTATTCCGCCACCACGTAAAAAACTACTACATCAAATTGGATGCGGTTTGTACACAGTCGTGTTCCTGAAGATGGAGCTTAATATCTGGTTTATATCGTCTTCATAAATCACCGCCAACTGTTCTATTTCATTCGTTTTTCTATTTCCAAAATCCAAAAATGATATTATGTATGTTTCATGCATTTTCACAATCTGAAAGCACCGTATAAAAATTAGTAGGCGTTGTGCGGATCACTCATAGCTCATTTTATCCACCATAACCTGAAATATAATAGAGTTTAGTGATATGAGATTACATAATTAAAGATTGTTCTACAAAAACAACCCACTTATGGCAAAACTTGTTATTTTCATTTCAAAACTAAACTATTGAACAGATTTTGATCAAGTTTCTATGGGATCAGTCTGTAAATACATCCATTCGGATAAAAAGAATTCTTCAAATTACCAGAAGGAGACTGTACAAAAATCATTTGCTTGGGCACCTCTGTCCCATTCGTGTTTCTGCCATTAAGCAGCTGTGTTTGCATGGCTGTGTTTCGGTTTGAAGGGTGGGATATGGCGTGAATTTACTGGGTACAGAGGAATAACACCCGAGTCCTCAGGAATGACAACGCATGCGTTCATGTCAAGTATCATGAGCGAAACAGTATACTCTGTTATGTCCATGGTACTGCTCATGTCTATAGGCGACGGTTACCACTTTCCATCAGGTGGGCCGTCAGCTTGTTTGCCATTCTAAGTTTCATAAAAAAATGGTTACAAACTAATGGAGCTATGAGGTAAGAAACATAAAAAATACAATCGAATTGAAAATCTACTTCTTTTTGAAGTCGGTTGAAAAAGAGAGCAGCCCGTGTGCTGCAGTGCAGTGACGACACGGCGATGGTCGAATTATTTGTCATTAATTTTGTTATTCTACGGATTGCTGCTATATTCACTCCAGCAGGCGTTGTCAGTCACAGCCGGGAACTTCTTTAATGGGTCTTTTTTTAATGAATGATAGTGAAATGGCAACCCCACCTGCACTACCGGTATACACTGGCGGGGCACCAGTGAGGAGTGATAAGTGAAGGTGAAGCAGGTCAGTTAGCCCATCATGACAAATTTAGCAATGAATAAATCAGGATGGTTTCCAGGGGGAACCGCGTGAAGATCGACCTGATAGGGTATGTTGCTAGTAACAGGGTGTTTAATTCACATTACCTCAATCCCTTTTCCCCCCTTTCTTTAATAATAGATTAACTCCGCCTGCACTATCGGTATACGCTGGCGGGGCACCAGTGAGAGGTGATAGGTGAAAAGGATAGGTTACTTGGCTCATAGTAAAATTCATAAAGAGTTAAACAAGTATTCTCCAATGTGAACCACATGGAGGTTAGATCACTGTCACTGGCCACTGTTAGATCCCCATTACCAAGAACCCCCGATTCCTGTCAATGTGTCGCTGTGTGAGGTTAGAGTAAACTTCCCTTTCTCGTACAAGACGCCGGTGGTCCGTGGACAGTGCTGTACATAAGACAGAAAGAAAAAAATGGTAGGTAATAAGATAGGAGTAACGCACAACGGCCCAGATGAGAGGCTAAGCGCTGAAATGTGAGCCAAATTTACGTTACGTTATAAGATAGCAGTAAGTGCAGAGCAACTGTTTGACTTGGAGCCTACTTCCCTGTTTAGTATATGACAGTGAAGCTTCGATTGAAACCAAGTTTTAAGATAATTAAGATGATTTAATCACGTTTCTTTATTACAATTTTCGTTATACGAACAATGACGGTAACGTAATGACGAATACTTTAGAAGAGGAACAAAACTATATTGTACGTAGTAAAGACATATTTATAATAGCGCCTGCCTAAAATGATATATCACAGATGTTCATTGTGCAATAATGCAACAATAATAGTAACAGGCACATGGGCTTAAACACGCCCCTTTCAATCATCACTCTGCTCGTCATTGACGGAATGTCCACTTCCATAATGATCTTAGAAGCAAAATAGTTATTTACAGCGATGCTCCATCAAGCCAGATTCTGTACATAGAAATAACTGAGACTTGTATAACATTTTGGGTAACTCTTTTCCACCTCATTTCTTGTTTGCCTCTATACACATGATAAGAAGAGGGTTTAATTGATTGGCTGTTTCTTTCCGTAATCTTACTTCACTTGAATTGGGTAAAACCCAAGAAAATATTGTTATATAATTTAAATTACAAATATAAACAGTGAACGAGTAGATAAGTTACGTAGTTGTTTGGAGACACGTCACAGTGACCCTGTTCAGCCGACGCTACACGACCGTCCAACAGTCCAACTGTTTGTCCAACCTTCCACGTGTACGCTGCCGAGGTTTCTCTTGAATGTTCGATACACTTTTCCACGCCCAGCTCGCCAACATTTCAACATGATTCTAATCTGTATTATCTGTATTTATGCATGAAATATTTTTAACCATTTACCATACGACTACATTTGTACAACATGCAGTACAGAAATGATATATTTTTTTTATATTCCTGAATTTATTTTAGTGAATTCTTATACTAGTATTTTACGTTAAAACATTTAACTCGTTATCCCACT